AGCATGGGTAACAAAGCCTGTAGTAGACATAATCATGAAGGTACTTGGGAGTTTGGTACGAGAAACGTCCCCAGCGTCACTCGGCGTTTATTTTGAGGGCGCACCTCTAGCTTTTGCACAACCAAGTACGAACTGCAAGGCAGCAGGAAGTAGACCCTCATCTTGCAAGTGAGGGGGTCAATGACTTTAGTTTTAAAAGGCCAGTCACATCGGCCTTCGTCACGACACCGTCATTGGGCTTGTTACTCTCCTGAGGCGTATTTGATCGTGTTCCATCACATCATTCAGACCTCGACCCGCTACTCCTTTATTGTCGCTCTCTCGTTATCTGCACATTCCTTGCCTGCTAGTTATGCCAGCTGGTCTCTATTGTTCAAACGCCCTGTATCCGTGGTTCCTCTGTATAGCTCCGAACCCTTCGTTGTTTGATTGCTTGGTGTAACCTTCGGTGTCTTACTGTTGTGAAGATAGGTGTTGTTCACACTGCTGGTTGAATTAGGTAACTACAGCGCACAAAATGATGCTATTAAGTCCACCCCTCTTGCGATGGAGGTGTTAACACTAAAGTGGGGAGGGAGGACAAAGGTGAATGCTTGGCGCTTTCCACTTGGTTGACCGACCATTGTTAGTAGTCAGTTTCGGCGAGTTGGCTAAAATCCTGTTTCCAAAGCAATTCACACTTGGCGTAAGATGCTCACAGTAGCGCCAATCCTTAGAACAACCCCTAACCGGACTACACAGTGCACCTTTGGAGTTGATCAATACGACGCGCACCGACAAGTGCGCGGCCCAAGGGCCATCTGGGAACCCGAGATAGTTAGCCACATTCGAAAGCCGTATGAACTGGCCCCCCAGTCACCGGTTCCCGGGGGGGGGGTCATAAAATCCTTACTGCACTCCGCTGAATCGTCGGTCAGGTTCTGACCCAGGGCCTCTCTATAGGGCCTATGAAAATAAAGCACTACTTCGACTTGGGCAACCGGGAGGTACCACGCCCATAGTCCAACCATGGACTTGTATATTCACGCGTGCCCCAGACTTCTACACTCACTCAAAACTCATTTTTCTGAAAAATTGCACGCGGCATTTCTATTTATCTTTCTTCCATTTATACTTAGCATACGCACAACCTGTTCCTCGTTTGCACGAACTTTAAACACCTCACAAGTTAAAACAGTATGGCGAACAAGCTTGTTTTCGTAACTTCATCTCACAAGTTACCTAGCCACTTGGCGTAACCTCTCTTCAACACAGACGTGGACTCAGATTGATCATATAGCTATTAGCTACAGATGGAGAGGATATGTGAATGACTGCTGTTCGTATTGGTCCACCCGCTGGGACTTTGACCAGGCACTGGATCGGACAACCTGCCGCCGGCCCTCTTCATAGACGGTGAAGAAGCTCTCGTGAGAGAGCTAGTGAGACTGTTCTCGAAGATATGGGAAACCGAAGGGAGGAATCGATTGTTACACCCACATACAAAAAGGACTGTCGCAACGCCGGTTCCAACCAAAGGGGCGTAAGTCTGATTCGAATAGCTCGGAAGATGCTAACATCCGTTTTATTGCGTAGACTGAGCCCATTTCACAAAAAACGAATCCACGAAGAGTAGGCCGGGTTTCTTGCATGCCGTGGTTTCATAGATCAAAGCTTCACCCCTAATCAGTTGCTAGAACACCACCACACATATAGACAAACTATAGGTATGCTTTTGGGCATCAGAGCGGCCTTCGACTCCACCGACAGCCCTGCGCTATGGAACTGTTTGCTGAGATACGGAGTACCCGAGATGTATAGCCCGCTTGGAAGCGATCAGTGAAGTCCGCCTCACTGTATTTCGCTGTACGATAATGATGATGAAAAACATTCTATCGTCAAACCTCAGGGAAAGCTATGTCTCATGACGAACGTTAGAGTAACGTTTCGTCCTGGAGACAGAAGCGAAGACTTCGAGTATGCCGATAATATTGCCGTACTCGGTGACATCATACCGGTGATTCAAAACACGCCGGACCGTTTGGCAATTGAGGTTGCGTCTCATTGCGCACAGACGACTATTGACGGGTATCTAATCTATCATAGAGGCTTCAGCTTTATCGTTTAATACGATACCTCCACCACGCTGACCCAGTGAGCGGGCTGCATCATCTCCCAATGTGCGAAGGAAGTACCTC